CTTGGCAGACTGAGGCAGGAGAATGGTGTGAACCCAGGAGGCGGTGGAGCTTGCAGTGAGCAGAGATTGTGCCACTGCACTCCAGCCTGGGTGACAGAGCTAGACTCCGTCTAAAAAAAAAAAAATATATATATATATATATATATATATATGTATATATATATTTTACAAAGTCTCCTGGCCAATGTAATAAGAAAAGAAAAAGATATAAGGGGTATAAGGAAGGGCAGGGCTAAAACTGATTATTTGCAGAATTTGATAATTTTAGAAAAAAAGCAATAGAATAATAAAACTATTAAAATTTACAAGAAAGTTTAAAAAGTATCCAGAATGTTCTGGGGATTAATAAACAAAGAATGTTTAGAAATTAAAGACCATCAGGAGTTTGACACCAGCCTGGCCAACATGGTGAAACCCTGTCTCTACTAAAAATACAAAAATTAGCTGGGCATGGTGGTGCGCACCTGTAATCCCAGTTACTTGGGAGGCTGAGGTGGGAGAATAGTTTGAACCTGGGGGGACAGAGGTTGCAGTGAGCCAAGATTGTGCACTGCACTCCAGCCTGGGCAACAGAGCAAGACTCCATCTCAACAAAAAAAAAAGAAAAGAAAAAAGAAAAAGAAAGAAATTAAAACCAATTTTTTGTCTTTAAAATTTTAATTTCTTTTACATCGAAGGCAAGCTTACAAAGTGAAATGCATAGATCTTACATGCATAATTCAATGTGTTTTGATAAATATATACATTACGTAACCACTATCCCAATTAAGACGTAGAATATTTCCAGGACCTGGAAACTTCCATTGTGTACCTTTCAAGTTAATCCTCAAGCCCTAACCCCAAGCTGAAGCAGTCACTATTGTGAATTTCTATTATCATAGATCAGTTTGGCCTATTCTTGAACTTCATACAAGAGGAATTAGAGTATGTCTTCTTTTGCATCTGGCTTTCACTCAAGATTTTTCCAAATTCATCCATACTATTGCATGTATCAATAGTTTATTATTAGCTGGGCGCGGTGGCTCACACCTGTAATCCTAGCACTTTGGGAGGCTGGGCCAGGCGGATCACTTGAGCTCAGGAGTGCAAGACCACCCTGGGCAACATGGTGAAACTCCATCTCTACAAAAAATACAAAAATTACCTGGACGTGGTGGCACATATCTGTAGTCCCAGCTACTCGAGTGGCTGAGGTGGGAGGATCACCTGAGACCCAGAGGCCAAGGCAGTCATGATCCTGCCACCGCACTCCAGCCTGCATGAGAGTGAGGTTCTGTTTCTAAAAAAAAAAAAAAAAAAAAATGCTTATTATTATATATCGAGGAGTATTATGCCATTACAGGGATACATCACATTCTGGTTATCCATTCACCTGTTGATGGAGATTTGAATTAATTTCATTTTTCAGCTATTATGAATAATGCTGCTGGAAATATCCATGTCCAAGCCTCCACCTGGACATTCACTTTCACTCTTCCTGAGTGAATACCTAGGAATGGAATTGCTGGGTGATAGGGATGATGTATTATGTTTATTTATTTATTCATTTTTGAGATGGAGTCTCTCTCTGTCACCCAGGCTGGAGTGCACTGGTGCTATCTAGGATCACTGCAACCACTGCCTCCCAGGTTCAAGCGATTCTCCTGCCTTAGCCTCTCGAGTAGCTGGGACTACAAGTGCGCGCCACTATGCTTGGCTAATTTTTGTATTTTTAGTAGAGACAGGGTTTCACCATGTTGGCCAGGCTGGTCTCAAACTTCTAACCTCAGGTGATCCACCCTCCTCGGCCTCCCAAGGCGCTGGGATTACAGGTGTGAACCACCGTTCCTGGCTCGTTTTTTGTTTGTTTGTTTCTAATCTGGTTGTCTTTTATTCTTTGTTTAACTTAAAAATCAATAATATTTTATGTAATGGTATAAAATAATTTACCATTCATAACGGCAAAAAACCCATAATGTATCTAGGAATTCCTGGTTACGAATCTACAAGATATCTATGGAGAAAATTGTGAAATGTTAAAGATCATCATAAAAGACAATCTGAATTAGCAGTTCTATATTACAAGAGGATAATTTGTCATTTCTCTTCAAATTAATCAAGTGAATTCAATCAATAGTTTTTTTTTTATTGGATTGGATTGGATTGGATTTTTTGAAGAGCAACAAGTTCGTCCTAAAGTATACATGAAAGATTAAATATCCAGAAATAGCTAAGTCAGTATTGAAAAAGAGGAGTAAGACGAGGAACATGTTTTATAAGATATGAAGACATACTGCAGAGCTGAGTAATAGAAAGCAGTGTGGGAAGGGTATAAGAACAAACACCAGAGACCAAAAGAACAGAGCAGGATGCTCAAATACAGACCTAAACATATTGCATTATCTAACACGTGGCATCACGCAGCAATGGGAGACGGCTTAGAAACAAAAGGCATTTTGCTGGGATTACAGGGGTGAGCCACCACGCCTGGCCTTACAGTAAATTATTGATAAACAACCCAGGAACTGCCTCTTCTTTCCTTTAAAAATTCACTTGCAGCTGCTACTAATCTTGAGTATACCCAGGGCAACTTGAATCTACAATTGCAATCCTCAAGTTTGGCCCAAATAAACTCTCTACTTATATTAATTTTGCCTCAGCTTCTTCCTTTCAGGTTGATTATTTCATGCATGCTTCACCTTGTTCAATCTTTAAGTGCTCAAACCAGAGTCTAAAGACAAAATAAGTTACTGCACGGTAGTAATTTTCACGTAGCTATTTTCATCTGGCTTGGATTTTTTTTTTTTTTTTTTTGACTATTTTTTGACTGACTTTGACTATTTTCACCTAGCCAGGATTTTTCAGAAGGGACATTCTTTAATTGTGTCTTACAATCCAATTTCCTCAGAGAAACTTCTTGGAGTTTCCCCAGCACAGTTGCTCATCATAGGCTTCACAGACAAAAGCCTCACTATTTATTAGATTCTCTTCTTCTTGGTCTTTTTCTTTACGACAGGTCAAATTTCTTGATGCTGCTGCACTAGTTCTAGAAATCAAAGAAACAAAGTTAAAAGAGTTGTTTCTTGAGATATAAGCTGAGATGGAGGTATGTACGGTAGAAAGGACTACTTATCCCCATCAAAGATTATTGTTATTGGAATTATACCTTATCTCGATTGCCTATTTAACAAAGCAAATACTCTAGAATGGGCAAGACTTGAGACAATTATGATTCGTTACTAAGTGTTCACTTAACTTCCAAATTGGTGTATCTTCTGAGTAGATGGATTCAGGGTAACTTTAATCTATGTTCCCGGGTTGCAATCCTCAAGCTTGGACCAAATAAACACTGCTTATATTAATTTTGCCTCAGCTTCTACCTTTTAGGTCAATAGTATTAAGCCTCTTTAAGTGGTCCTATAGGTAACTGAAGCTATATTCAGGTTTTTTTTTCCTCTGTGTGTGCCATTTTGTATCGTTTCTGTTGCCATGTCTTTAAATTCATTAATTTTTTTTTCTGCATTGCCTAATGTGCTAGCAATCCCATCCAAATAAATTTTTATTTCAAATATTTTTCACCTCCATCCAGAAATTTGATTTCTTTTCAAAAATCTTTCCAGTTTCTCTCCTATTATGTCTTCCTTTAAATCTTTGAGCATATTCATAACAGTTGTTTAAAATCCTTGTCTGTTAATTTCATCATTTTTATCATTCTGGGGTTTGTTTCTATCAACTTCATGAGATATTTTCTTACCACTTGGTCAGTCTCTCTCTCTCTCTTCCTCTCTCTCTCTCTCTCTTTTGAGACAGAGTCTCACCCTGTCACCCAGGCTGGGTTGCAGTGGTGCAATCATAGGTCACTGCAGCCTCGAACTCCTGGGCTCAAGCAATCCTCCCACCTCAGCCTCCCCAAGTGCTGTGTGTCTCTTAACTTTTGACTGGATGTCTTACATTTTGAATTTAATGTTGTCGAATCCTGGATTTTACTCTAGTCTTTCAGAGAGTATTAGACTTTGTTCTTACAGGCAATTAGGTTACTTACAGAGCAGTCTGATCCTTTCAGGGCTTGTTTTAAGGCTTTTGAAGAGTCTACAGCAGCTTATGCTCTGGGTCCTGCAGTCTAGGGCTATTGTATCTCACTAAGGCATGACGTTTTTGTAACTGCCCAAGAGTTTCATCTTGCTCACTGCCTAGACAGAGTCGATTTATCAAGACAGGGGAATTGCAATAGACAAAGTAATTCACACACAGCTGGCAGCACAGGAGACCTGAGTTTTATTATGTAAATCAGTCTCCTTGAGCATTTGGGGATCAGAGTTTTTAAGGATAATTTGGTGGGTGAGAAGCCAGTCAGTCAGGAGTGCTGATTGGTTGGGTAGGAGATGAAATCACAGGGAGTCGATGATATCCTCTTGCACTGAGTCAGTTCCTGGGTGGGGGACACAAAATCAGATGAGCCAGTCTATCAGTCTGGGTGGTGCCAGTTGATCCATCAAGTGCAGGGCCTGCAAAATATCTTAAGCAATGATCTTAGGTTTTACAATAGTGATATTATCGCCAGGAGCAATTTGGAGAGGGTTAGAATCTTGTACCTTCGGCTGCATGGCTCCTAAATCATAATTTCTAATCTTTTGGCTAATTTGTTAGTCCTACAAAAGCAGTCTGGTCTCAAGAACAGGGTTTATTTTGAGAAAGGGCTATCACCTTTGTTTTAAACTATAAGCTATACACTAAGTTCCTCCCAATGTTAGTTTGGCCTACGCCCAGGAATGAATAAGGATAGCTTGGAGGTTAAAAGCAAGACGCAGTTGGTTGGGTCTGATCTCTTTCACTGTCTCAATGATAATTTTGCAATGGCAGTTTCACTTCTGACGTTTCTAGTGCATGTTCCATGGTATTCAATAATCTCTTCACTCTGTTTGCTGGGAGCTCAAATGATTCCCAGTTCTGTGTGAGCTCTCATCATTGTTTGGTGTACTGCTCCCCAATAATTGTTCTTTCCTGGCCTTGTGGAGTTTCACGTTTTTTATTCAGTTGAAGATTCAAAGGTACTCCTAAGCAGATTTCTGAAGCTCTTTTTCCATGTAATTCCCTCCTCTCCAGAATTCTGTCCCACAAATTCCAACCAACTTGGCCTACCCCAATTTCCTCAACTGCAATCCCTGTCTTCTCAACCTGGGAGATCCCAGGTTTCCATTTGATTTCCCTTCTCTGCACCACAGACTGGAAATGGCCTCTGGGCAAAAGGGCAGAGTGATATAGGGCTCCTTTTGTTTCTCTTCTCTCACGTGAAACTATCCACAGCTGCCTGTTGTCCAATGTCTGAGGAGTTGTTTCCTATATCTTGTTCCGTTTTCTAATTGTTTACAGTGAGACACTAAGTCCAGACCCATTTTCTTTTCTTGTCCAGAAGTGTAAGTTTTAGGAAACTCCTTATGGAAAATGTGAATTGCTTTATTATTTTTTATGGTTGAAAATATCTTTCTCTATGATATCTCCCCACTCACCCTACTTTTTCCCTTCTCAGTAAACGCTGACGCGATCATCCATTCCGGTGCTACCCTCTAGTGTCCAGATTAGATCCTTGCGCAACTTCATCCCGTGCTAGTTCCGCCCACGGCCGGCCACGCCCAGTGTTCTCACCGGCGCGCCTCCCTCTTGTTCTTCCTCCCTCCCCTGTGGACTGCGGCGCTGGCGTTCCGTGCACGCCGTCTCACTGCGCCTGCGCGGCGTTTGGACGCCACACGCTCCCGGAAGTAGGAGGTGGCCGCCGGAGTTTGTGTGGCCGCCGCCGCGGGAACGCGAGCCCGGTAATTTTTCAACGGAGAAAGGCGAGGCTTTCGGGCTCGGCCAAGTGAGAGTGAGCAAGTGTCTGGCTCCAGCAGCTTTCCTCTGGCGTGACAGCCGGCATGGAGGAACCACAGAGTAAAGAGCCTGCCAGCGAGGCCGTGACTCCCGTGTTGCTGGAGTCGCCGCGGCCGGAGGGCCGGGAGGAGCAGCCGCGTCCCAGTCCCGAGGTGAGGAGTCGGCCCGCGCCCGGTTGTCGGCGCCCGCTGCCCGGTCCCCCAAGCGCCCTCGGCACCCCTTCTCAGGTGTCCCGCAGAAGGTGCAGCTGCGCGCCCTTGGACCCCAGCCTCTTCCCCCGCGCCAAGCTCCCTAGCCTTATCCTGGGATGGTTGGAGCCCCCTCAGGGCCGAATCACTCTTTGGGAGGGAGGAAATCGTCAAGACCAGTTCTGTCAATAGTGGGTGAATAGGTTCTAAGTGGGAGTTCTGCTCTAAACTTAATTCTGTGTTGACGGTTGCTGTTGTCACTCCATCTAGCCGTTATGGGTAATTTGCAAGGCTTTCTGTTTTTAAAATCTCACCATATACCCTAGGCATGTCACTTCATACCTTTAAAAAAAAAAAAATTTAAAAGCACCCACCAGCATCCCTCTCTCTTACCTGTTAAGTGGAGCTTCGTCTTAACTGCTTTTGCTCATTTACTGGTGTCTCATATAAACATAGTGTACGATTGAATTAATAATTTTGACGTCTCATTGGTCGAACCTAGTTACAGTGGCGAAGTTGTAGAACAGTCTTAAAACTTATTTAACGAATGTAATCGTTGACTAGCGCTGCGGATTGTGATTGAACACTAAAATTGATCTTTTCCTAATAATAAACATGTTGAGCACTTCGTAAAGTGGGTGTTTGCAAGAGGGCTCCTAACTCTTACTCCTTACGTCCACAATCAATTTCCATCTGGCGGCTAGAATGAGCTTTGTAATAACATGAATTTGGCTTATTCTCCTCCTTAGTAACTTCGATTTGCTGCTCTGCGGGGTCTGGTGCCTGCCTCTGTTGCTAATTGGATCTCACACAGTTTTTCCCTTTTGTTCCCAGTGCCCCTCGCTTCCTTGTGTTCTTTTACATTGGAAGGAAGGTCTTTCTTGTTAAGGGTGTCTCTGTGTTCCTTTTGCGCTGCATGCACTTCTTTGGATCTTTGCAATTATCTTTCTCCTTCTAAAGTTGTTACTTTTAAAGAGTACTTGCTCATTCCCTTTCATAAAGAACCACTCTTCCACCTGCCTCCCTCTTCAACCTGAGATACATTGTGTCAGTCTCATCGTGTAAGTGGTTTTTAAAATAAATTTCGAAGTTTATTTTCAGTAAAAAGAAGTGTGTTTGAATCTACTTCTTTATATTTGAAAGTCTTGACACTTTTACAGCTACTTAAGGCCTAGATTTCTGCTCCAGATTGGCTTTAGTGACGGTAGTAATTGTTAAAAACTTACCGTTGCATGTTCTTAATAAGGATACTTTTTTTTTTTTTTACAAAAAGGAGCCGGGCGTAGTTGCGCTCGCTCATAGTCCCAGCCACTAGGGAGGCTGAGTAGGGAGGATCACCTGAGCCCATGGGTGGAGGCTGCAGTGAGCTGTGATCGTGCCAGTGCACTCCAACCTGGGTGACAGAGTGAGACCCTGTCTCAAAAAATAATAATGATGACAGTTTTTTTTTTCTTTTTTTGGAGACAGAGTTGCATTCTTGTTGCCCAGGCTATAGTGCAATGGCATGATCTCAGCTCACTGCAACCTCCGCCTCCGGGATTCAAGTGATTCTCCTGCCTCAGCCTCCCTAGTAGCTGGGATTACAGGAACCCACCACCACACCCGGCTAGTTTTTGTATTTTTAGTAGAGATGGGGTTTCACCATGTTGGCCAGGCAGGTCACCAGCTCCTGACCTCAGGTGATCCGCCCACCTGGGCCTCCCTGAGTGCTGGGGTTACAGGCATGAACCACTGCGCCTGGCCATGTTACAGTTTTTTTCAATCTCAAGCAAAGTTTTTTGTTGAATTCACGTGGTGAATTTCCATTATCTCTAATGCCAGTTGTCTTTGAAAACTAACAGAAGCTATTGCATATTTATATTTGCAAAAGGAGAGTTCTGATGAAATTTGAACCTACTTATTAAAGTATATATAAAGTATATAAAACATCAAGAAGATTTCTAAGTTTTTTTTTTTTTCAGTGTGCAGATGCAGAGGTTTTCCTTTAGTAGGTAGTACCTCGATTTTTGGCAACAAAATAATAGAAACATTTCCAAAACCTCTGTTTTCAAAATGTTCTCTATAAAGTTTCTTTTGACAAGCAGTTACTTTCTAGCTTACTGTTAAAATGTATTTTCTTTTATCTTGCAACAACAGATTGTGTTCGTTTAAAAAAATGTTAAAAATCAAGCTCCCGTACCCTTCCCAGTAAGAAAAGGACAGCAATTTTAGAATACCTGTCTTTTTGTCATAGAAAATATGTAACTCATCTTTCAGTTCAACAACAGTGTTAAAGTACTTTGTTGCAAGATAGTAAACCTGTGTTTGGTATGGAAGATTTTCATGGCCACATCCCAGAATGTAAAAGATTCTCTTATTTGAGATAATACAAACCATACACCCACTTAATTGAACACGTGAATATTGCAGAATGTTACAGTTCTGTGATGCTGAATGTTTCTCTCCATATTGTGGTATCTATCACTTTTCTCATTATATGGTCAGTATTCTATGTGACGTGATAGATGGAGGTAGATACTGGCGTGGATGCTGTTGCAAATGTAAATATTTTGTAAACTAATTTTGTGTTTCTGCAGATTGACAATACAAGTAGGGTTTTTAATATTTTCTTTGTGCTCCTTGGTGGATTGACTTGAGCATCCTTCTTTGTGAATCATTAGTGTAGATCTGAAATTTGGGAGGAGACACTGATTTCTGAGGATTGGACCTTGGCTGTCTCTAGAACTTCACTGAAGGAAGAGAACTAGAGCTGGACCTAGGAAAGGAAGCAAATTTTTCTTTATAGAAGTCATAATTTATAGCATCTATAGAAGAGGCCTACATGTTACTTGTGAATAATTTTTGTAGCTACAGTTTTGGATGAGAATTAACAAGTGAATGAGAAAGAGGATTTGTCCAAAGAGAAAATCTACTTAAATTAACTGAGACATCTGTTTTGGTAGACAAACTGTTTCTTAATGTTGACCTAAATTTTAACCTGACTAAAGATGAAGTTTAAAATTCAATGTAGATTTAAAGTCAAAAGATAATTTTTTATTAAATTCTGATCAAGCAGAGAGATATCTATTGTAAATTTAATATAGTTGAAAGTGAATTATTGGTCAACTAGCAATACTTTTTTTTCTTAACATTGTTAACAACGAACCTCAATGTGGCTATTCTTTAATTTATGGATAGTTCACACATTGGAACTGCTGACTTCTTCCTCAAAGGAGATGGGTGAGTCACTCTTGAGTACTCTGGCACCTTTTTATTTATTTATTTATTTTTTTGAGACGGAGTCTTGCTCTGTGGCCCAGGCTGGAGTACAGTGGCCGGATCTCCGCTCACTGCAAGCTCCGCCTCCCGGGTTCACACCATTCTCCTGCCTCAGCCTCCCGAGTAGCTGGGACTACAGGCGCCCGCCACCGCGCCTGGCTAGTTTTTTGTATTTTTTTAGTAGAGACGGGGTTTCACCGTGTTAGCCGGGATGGTCTCGATCTCCTGACCTCGTGATCTGCCCGTCTTGGCCTCCCAAAGTGCTGGGATTACAGGCTTGAGCCACCGTACCCGGCCTCTGGCACCTTACCTAGCATTATATTTCCAGTAAATGTATGTTGCATTAAATTGAGAGCTTAGATTAAGAAATAGTTCCTGAACCATCAGGATCAGTTCTAAGTCAGGGACTGTGGCCTCTTTGTGATTATCCTTTCTTGATCTGTAATTAAAGTTTACATGAGGACAAGGGATTAACAGTAAGTACTAAGTATTTTTGAAAATTCTGGAACATAGCTAATATTTGTGATAGTGCATGTGGAAAATAATTAACTTATAAATGAATCTTTGGAACTTAACATATTAGTAATTTGAGACTGCCTGTGGAGAAAGTAGAATTGAGTCATGGTTTTTTCTTAACAGATTTTTATTTATGAAAAGATTTATAATGCTGTGCTGCTTCTGTTTAACTGACATAAGTATAACTTTTGGAAAATGTAAGTTTGAAATGAAATACATTTCCTTTGCTTTGAGTACTAGGAAGCTGTGATTAGATTCGCAGTCCATTTTGTTTTTATGTTGGGCAATATTTGTTAACTTTGTGAAATGAAGTCAGGTTAAACAATTATCAGAAGTTATTGTACATGTGTAGTGTAAAAGTTCATTTAAAAATGGGTTCATTTGTAAATACTAGCATATTGTTTGTGAAGGGCTTGTTGTATAGTCTGTGATATTAATAGTTACCATTTATTAATTGCTACTGTGGGTCTAAGAGCCTGATACATATAATCTCAATTAATCTTTGTAATAATTCTGCCCAAACACTATTTACCATTACCAAATTGCCATTTTATAGATAAGGAAATTGAAGATCAGAGGGTAATACGTGACTATCCAAAGTCATGCTGCTATTTCTGGTAAATAGTCAGCTGGGGCTCTCTGTTGAGGTGGTGTTGACTGCCAACACCAGTCCTCTTTTTACTTAGCTTTGTTTCCTTTGAGGAACCTCATGACTCATAGTAGAGTGAGGTAAATTGTATTGGAGACACATCTTCCTTCTTCTTATCCTTTCCTCCCTTTAGGAGCTGCAGTGAACACTTTTCATTGAACATGTAGCATGAAGAGGCTTCAGAAGTTTGAATCTTTAAATCTGTGATGTTTGTACTAATTATAAACTACATCTCTTTTTTTTTTTTTTCCCCCGTAGGAAACTCAACAGTATAGATTTGATGGCCAGGAGACAAAAGGATCCAAGTTCATTACCTCCAGTGTGAGTGACTTTAGTGACCCAGTTTACAAAGAGATTGCTATTACGAATGGCTGTATTAATAGAATGAGTAAGGAAGAACTCAGAGCTAAGCTTTCAGAATTCAAGCTTGAAACCAGGTAATTAAAAATAACTTATAAAATTATAAAAGTAGTACATACTCATTTTAGAAAGTCTTGAAAACACTGAAATATTAAAAATCGTTTGTAATCCTACCATAATGACATGACCCTATTAACCATTCAAAAACACCATAATTAACATTTTTTATGTGCAACTCTGATTATTTTTGTCCATCTTCTAGATGATAGGACTGCTGAATCAAAGTCTATGAATGTTTTAATGACCTTCCGGCAATGTATAGGAGTATCTGTCTCATTATAACAAGTGTGTTTTTTATTGTTTTAGTTGCTCATTTAAATGATGGATAGTTATATTAGTGAGATTGAGTATTTTTCTTTTTTTATTTTCTTTTTGCCATTTGTATTTTTTATAAAAAGAGTTTGTTTGAAACCAGGTACGATAAATGAAAAACATCATTCACTTACCAGGAATATTTTTTGTTTTGATTTAGTTTCTAAAAAATAATGTACAGTGATGGTATGCATTATGTTTAACTGTATATTGAGTGAGAAAACAAGGCAACTTAGTCAACTGTGTGTGTATTTTAATGAGATATACACATACCTAAGTTTTTAGTAATTTTTTGTGAAACAAATCACTTTACGTTGACTTGGGCCATGGGGCAGGAATGACTTTTGGAGTCCAGAAAAATACATAGATTTTTGATAAACAGTAGAACTGCCAGGCATCAAGAAAAAAAGTTGCCTGTATGAAATAGGCGAAAACTCTTACTTTTTCAAGGCATCTCTGAATCTTAATTCTCTTAAAAGTAGTAGTCTTCCTCTTTAGAGTTTCATCACTCTTCAAAAGAGCACAAATATATTTCTAGATTGTCTACATCATAATGTATGAAGAAATTTTTGATTCCTAATTCCCCGATTCTTTCTGTTATGAAGGTACAGCTTGTAGCCTACAGAAGATTTTCCGAGCAAAATTTTTGTCCTTCCCAGGTGTGAAGATCAGTTGCTTACTCCTGGCTTGCATGGGAGCTAGAGATCTAGATGTATGTTTATACATTTATTCAACAAGCCTGTATTGAATTCTAACTACTGCACTAGGCATTGAAGTTATAAAGGTAAATACAGATATGTTCCCCACTTTGACAATCTCAGTCTTTTGGGAAAACACACAAAGAAATCATCACAATACAGAGTGGCCAACGCTGTATTGGAGGTCTGGCCAGGTACAGCATGAGGATACAGAGGAGAATATTTCTCAGGGATTCAGAAAGATGACATTTGAATTGTGCCAAACAGAAAAGGGAGGGAGGGTATTTCAGACAAAAAAATAACATAGAAGCTTTTCTAATTCCTGTTTGTATGGTTTCTGCAACATGATCTTGCCTTTTCTTCAACTGTTGTGCAACCAAAGTTATAGGACATAAAAGTGTACCACACATACTGAGAACATGACTTTTAAAGTTTTTTTATTTTTTTGAGACAGAGTCTCGCTCTGTCGCCCAGGCTGGAGTACAGTGGTGTGATCTCAGCTCACTGCAACCTCCGACTCCGGGGTTCAAGCGATTCTCGTGCCTCAGCCTCCCGAGTAACTGGGATTACAGGCATGCACCACCATGCCTGGCTAATTTTTGTATTTTTAGTGGAGATAGGGTTTCTCCATGTTGCCCAACCTGGTCTCGAACTCCAGCTCAAGTGATCCACCCACCTCCCAAAGTGCTCAGATAGACGTGAGCCATCCAGCTGGTGGAGGCCATGACTTATAGTATGTTTTGTCTGCAGTACACAGTATACCTCAGGAACATTTGAGTGATACTGAATTGATAGGTTGTAGCCAAGTTGTGAAGGAACTCTTATGTTGAAGTCTGCATTTTGCCTTGTAAGCAGAAGGGAGCCACTGAGGATACTTCAGCAGAAAATTGGCATTAGCGCTCAGTTCTCAAGTAAGGTAAAGAATGAATTGAAGGGTTGTGGTAATGGAGGCATTTGCCATACTCCACAAGCTAATGAGAGCTATGGCAGAAAGAATTAAAGAGAATCATGTTCTGAATATTTTTCTCAGTTGGAATTGGCAAATATGGTGAATATTTGGAAGAGCAAAGGAGATGTTAAAGATAGCAGGTTTCTATCCAGAGCAACTAGTTATATGTTTGTCCTGCCATTAGCTTTGCAGACAACTCTGGTAAATGTAGTCTCTCCCCCATCACACCTCCCACCCCCCAACAAAAATAAAAAAAAGAAACTAATCCAAAGCTGTCACATGACACAGAGGTTACTCACAGTGCCTTAATATGAAAGAGGTTAAGGATTTTCTCCCTAGGTCTTGATAATTTGGAAAATCTCAAGCAAAGAAACAATATTAAGACATTTTGTCTTAAAATAGCTAACTGGTCGATTATTACTATTTTCGTGGGTAGGATTTTTTTTCAGTGCTTAATTGTAGTTTAGAAAGGAAAATAGGCCGGGCGCGGTGACTCAAGCCTGTAATCCCAGCACTTTGGGAGGCGGAGGCAGGCAGATCACGAGGTCAGGAGATCGAGACCATCCTGGCTAACAACAGTGAAACCCCGTCTCTACTAAAAAAATTACAAAAAACTAGCCAGGCGAGGTGGTGGGCGCCTGTAGTCCCAGCTACTCGGGAGGCTGAGGCAGGAGAATGGCGTGAACCCGGGAGGCGGAGCTTGCAGTGAGCTGAGATCCGGCCACTGCACTCCAGCCTGGGCGACAGAGCCAGACTCTGTCTCAAAAAAAAAAAAAAAAAAAAAGGAAAATAAAAGTTTAAAACGTTTTTTTAAATAGTCATTAATCAGTTAACATGATACTTTACTTGGCACTACAAGTTAATTTAGATCCTCTTGTTTTTACTTCTACTTCATATTTGCAGGCCAATATAGGATTCATTTGCATAACACTGAAGGAAGCCTGAATGCTGGTTGCAACTTTATTTTTTGGAAAAATACGTATTGTTTAAAGAATGAAGTCACCTGATCACTGTTACCGTTAGGATGACCTTTCTCTCCTCCCCACTACTCCCATTTGTGGAATGTATATTTTAAAGCTACCTGTGATATTGAAATCCCCTAAATCATATTCTACCCATGATAAATTAAGAAACTTATTTCTAGTTAAGAACCTACTAGTATGATAATGTTCCTCTGGACACAGTTCACTTAGAGTGTATTCTAATTTAGTTTTCCTTGTTAAGTAACCAATAGACATTCACCTTTATATGCTAGGCTCATAATGCTTTCATATTCATATGAATCTTTTGAGTTGACTAACCTACAAAAGCCAAAAAAAGGAAAGAGATAATACTATATCTTCAACTTAACCCAAATTTTTATATTCTTAAGTTTATATTTTGGCCAGTGGAATAATTTTATATTAATTTCAATGTTTGTATCATATATGTTATCTTAGTATATAAGGCAATATGACTGTGTTGGTGGTATATGCTGACAATGTTTATGGTTTGAAATACCAGTATATGTTGGAGAAAATACTGTTATATACTACTAAAATAAAAAACTACTTGTGAAGGAAAATGTTAATGTTGTAATAAACATTATTTTAATTGTTTCTTTGCTAACTTAGCTTTGAGTCTTGCTTTTCTTACATTTATTTTATCTAGCATTTGCTAAATTATGCTGTAATTGTCAGTGTTCAACCCAGTGCTGGCAGGTAAGAATTTTGATTCTTGACTGTAGAATTTACCTAAGTGTAACTACTCTTCTTTTTCTGCTTAGAGGAGTAAAGGATGTTCTAAAGAAGAGACTGAAAAATTATTATAAGAAGCAGAAGCTGATGTTAAAAGAGAGCAATTGTGCTGACAGTTACTATGACTACATTTGTATTATTGACTTTGAAGCCACTTGTGAAGAAGGAAACCCACCTGAATTTGTACATGAAATAATTGAATTTCCGGTTGTTTTACTGAATACGCATACTTTAGAAATAGTAAGTGAATTTTTATATTTTAATTGTATTTCTAGCAGCAACTATTCTGGTGTTTACTGGTTATGTGGAGGACCTCACTTGCTGTTTAGCTAGAACTAGACTTCTAAAGTAAGTTTTTTCTTTGCTGTGAACTTTATATCAACTTGATTAATAGAAAAGCTATAATAAAGCAATTTTAGATACTACTGCTTTCTTTTTGCAGTAGCGAAAGTTAAAATTTTTTTTCCATTTGCTTAGAACATCTGGGCGTGGACATCAGAATCTCCTGGTAAGTAAAAAAATAAAATACTAATGATACAGATGCCTGGCCCTAGTCCTGGAGATTTTAATTTAGTTCTGTGATAGGGCCCCTGAAATCAGCATTTTTTTAAAGCTTTTCAGTTGGTTTTAATATGCAGTCAGGCTTGATAACCACTGCTGTGGCCTAGTGTGAACTCTGATCTCTAAGAATGATAATTTACAAAAATGTCTTTTGAACCTGTCTCTCTAGTGGAAAGTTTAAGGGTGAAATGACTCATATAGCCCTGGTTTCTAAGCCAAATGGTATGTGTGCTTTAGATACTTGTCAGTGCATTATTAGTTCAGAAAGTCACAGTAGGAATTCCCTAAAAGAATACTGCTTGCCTTATAAAATCTGAGCAAGAATATCCTAACGTCTCATCTTTCCAAAAGTCACTTCTATGATATCCTCAGTTGCTACCAACACACTTGGGAGTAAGTATAAAAAGGCTTTGTGAATTAAAATGCATAGGTTATTCTTAGTGCTATTAAAAATCTCTTTTATAGTCTTAATTAGTCTTTCTGTAATTTTCTCATCCAAAGCAGATTGAAGGTCAGTAAATTAGAAGGAAAAATGGCAGCTGTGAAGGCAAATAATCTTGCATAAGTCACTAGATTTGACTTCTTTCTTATTCGAGGATGTTACTGTAGCAGGTCTGTCCGCATTTGGACATTATGATTTATAGCTTTCGTCTATATTGGTCCCACTACACACAAATATGTTATTTTTTTCACACCATAAAAAACCTTCTCTTCATCCCACTGCGCTGCCAGCTACCCCATTTCTTTGTTCCTCTTTTTGGGAAAATTCTTCACATAAGTTATATGTACTTATATATGTATCTCTTTCCTTTTCTTCCATTTTCTCAAATTCATACCATTGTGGGTTTACATTCGATAAAGTTTATGTATTCAATCCCATCATTCCACTGATGTCACTCATCAACATCATCTTTGACCTTTACCCTAAATCTTGGCAAAATTGAACATTCTCACTTTTTTTTTTCTATTTTGAGATAGAGTCTTGAACCCAGGCTTGAGTGCAGTGGTATGAACCCAGCTCACTGTAACCTCCGCCTCCGGAGTTCGAGCAGCTCTCGTGCCTCAGCCTCCTGAGTAGCTGGGAATACAGGTGTGTGTCACCACACCCAGCTAACTTTTTGTATTTTAGTAGAGACAAGGTTTCACCATGTTGCCCAGGCTGGTTTCGAACTCCTGAGCTCAGGCAATCCGCCTGCCTCAGCTTCCCCAAGTGGTAGGATTACAGGTGTGAGCCATTCTCACTTTAAAAAAAATAATTAACACAGCATTGCTGGTTTGAATACTTTTTCCTTGGAGCATTTTCTTCAGGTATAACTTGTTCTGCTTGATTTTTCTCTAGCCCTACTGGATTCCCTATTTGCAGTTTTCTTGGCTGGTTCCTCATTTCCTTCCCAGCTTCACCGTATCAGATGTCCCAGATCTCAATCCTAGCTCCTCTTCTTAGCTTACATCCTCTCGCTTGATGATCTTATCTAGTTCCATAGCTTTCAGAAGCTATCTCTATGCTGGTGACTTTCAAATACTTATTTCAAACTCGTACCTCTGTTCCAAATCCAGATTGCTTACTTGACATCTCTATTTAAATGTCTCAACCTGTTGAACTTACCTCCAGCCCATTCTATCTTTAGCCTCCTGTAGCTTGGGTGATGGCAGCTTTTTGTAATTAGAATCCTTCTAATTGCTCAGTTCAAAAACTTTGGAGTCATCTTTGACTCCTGTTTCTCTCACATCCAGGCCATCAATGATTCCTGTTTGGCTCTGCCTTCAAAATATATCCAGAACCCAGTCACTTAACTGAATTGCTGTGACTTCATTCTGAGCCCTTATCATTTATGTGACTTACTGCATTCGCCATCTAACTGGTCTTTGTGTTTCTGTCCGTGTTGTCCTACAGCCAGTTCTCAACAAAGCTGCCAGAGTAATCCTTTAAAAATATAAGTCAGATCATTTAACCCCTCTGCTCAAAACCCTACACTGGCTCCTCTTTTAACTCAGAGTACAACCCATATTCCTTACATGCCCCGGCCTGTTGTTTCCTCTGATTGTTTCCTGTCTTACTACTCTCTTCCTTAACTCACTCCTCTCCAGGCATGCTGACCTGCTTGCTCATTCTCAAAAATGCCAGGCTTGCTTTATCCCATTACTTGCCAGGACTTCAGCTCCAATTTTCTTACCCAGAAATCTTGCTGGCCAATGTTTTTCTCCTTCTCTCCTTCCCTCTCATTTTTCCTTCCGGTCCTTCCTTAAATCTTACCTCTAAATAAAGCCTATTTGTTTATCCTGTTAAAGAGTGTGGCCTATGTTTCTGACCCCCCTTACTGCTCTGCTTTTCCTTTGCTTGCTCAGGTGAGTCTCCTGCTTCATCTTCCTGAGTAGCTGGGATTACAGGCATCTAGGTTCCTTTAGTTTTAACCCTTATGACCTTTTAACTTACATAATTTATTTAAGTGATGATTAAAGATTTGACCAATGAATGCATAGTTCTCTCTAGCATTTTTCTGTTAAAAGTTTTTAATAGTGAATAATAACATTTTAGTAATATCTGTTATTTAGTACTACCGAATTGTAATTATAAGGGAAGTTGCAATGTAGTTTTGAAAGAATGTCATTTAAAATTATAAAATAGTGATATTTAAAAGGATATAGACTTAATTTATCTGTGATATTCAGTTAAGTGGAATTTTGCAATATGTCTGGTAAGTAAAGAATGTCTAACTTTTGAAGTTCAATTATTCTTTTTTTTTTTTTTTTTTTTTTTTTGAGATGGAATCTTGCTCTGTCACCCAGGCTGGAGAGCAGTGACTCAATCTTGGCTCACTGCAACCTCCACCTCCTGGGTTCAAGCGATTAGCCCACCTCAGCCTCAGTAGTTGGGACCATACGTGCGTGCCACCTCGCCCAGCTAATTTTTGTATTTTTAGTAGAGATAGGTTTCATACACCACTTTGGCCAGGCTGGTCTTGAACTCCTGACCTCAAGTGATCCAACCCCCCCCCCCCCTTTGGCCTCACAAAGTGCTGGGATTACAGGTATTAGTCACCACATCTGGCCTCAGGTGTTCTTTTTTGTTCCTTACTGTTGCTCATTTACAATTCTTTACAACCATTTATAGCTTAATAGATAAGTATGTAGAAAGAATTTATTCTTAGGAAATACAATCTTTACTTTTCTTAATTTTTAAATCTTCTGCCATAAAGAATATTTTTTGTCATTTTCTCTGCTACCTAGGATTAACAGTTGCTGCCTTTAAATCTTCAGTGTTTAAAATTGTGCTTAATTTCTCAAAAGTGACTCAGTGTGTTCTGGTTAGGGAGGCATTACTGGGCTAGAGGAAAAAGCACTTAGAGATTGGAGCCTGATAACAATACTGGCCTCACTTAGTTTATGGAGTTGTGAGCATAAAATAAGACCATCGTGTCAGGAGGTGGAGACCATCCTGGCTAACACAGTGAAACCCAGTCTCTACTGAAAATACAAAAAATTAGCTGGGCGTGGTGGCAGGCACCTGTAGTCCCAGCTGCTTGGGAGGTTGAGGTAGGAGAATGACGTGAACCCAGGAGGCGGAGCTTGCAGTGAGCCGAGATCGTGCCAGTGCACTCCAGCCTGGGCAACAGAGCGAGACTCCATCTCAAAAAAAAAAGACCATTGTGAAAGCTTCTTGAAAAGGTTCAACATTGCTACAGGTACACTGTCTTAGCAACTCTTAAACTACGTATATATTGTTAACAGTTAAATTTTGACTATTTAGAATTTAGTTCCATTGGATTTTTATATGAAAATAAAGACGATTCAGGAGTAAATGAGAGCAATAGTTTAAAGCTAATTTATTATAACTGAAAGCTGGCATTAATTATGAACCAAATGATTTTTTAATTTAAAAATTAAGAGTGCTTTTGGTGTGGGGAATTATCTTTAAAAACTAGAAAGGTTTATGCTATGAGATCCTATAAAATTACAACCTGCTGTAATGAATTCTTCATGTATCATGTATCATGTATCTTAAGTCATATAAATTACTTTAACTTGCTATCCTTCCCTTGCAGGAAGACACATTTCAGCAGTATGTAAGACCAGAGATTAACACGCAGCTGTCTGATTTCTGCATCAGTCTTACTGGAATTACTCAGGTTATAATTCTAAGTTCTTCTTTCTAGAGTTTGAAAGAGTTTTTGAAATTAGGGATTTACGCCGGGTGCGGTGGCTCAAGCCTGTAATCCCAGCACTTTGGGAGGCCAAGATGGGCGAATCACGAGGTCAGGAGATCGAGACCATCCCGGCTAACACGGTGAAACCCCGTCTCTACTAAAAAATACAAAAAACTAGCCGGGCGAGGTGGTGGGCGCCTGTAGTCCCAGCTACTCGGGAGGCTGAGGCGGGAGAATGGCGTAAACCTGGGAGGTGGAGCTTGCAGTGAACTGAGATCTGGCCACTGCACTCCAGCCTGGGCCACAGAGTGAGACTCCGTCTCAAAGAAAAAAGAAATTAGGGATTTATTTTATACATAGTTTTAAAAAATTATTATTGTTGTAAACAATTTAATACCTTGCTTGGTAAAGATGTTTCATGTTGTAATAATTAAAAAAAAAAAAAAAAAAACAGCAAATTTTACACCTGGTAACATTTTCCTCAGCCTTTCCTCTTAAAGAGTTGTAGTGATGAATCTAAAGATTTCATTTGTAAAATGAAGCATCAGCAAATTGTTACCATACTGAACTTGGAGATAAATTTTATTTATTTATTTATTTTTTTGAGACAGTCTCACTCTGTCACCCAGGCTCGAGTGCAGTGGCATGACCTCGGCTCACTGCAGCCTCTGCCTCTTGGGCTCAAGCAGTTCTCCTGCCTCAACCTCCTGAGTAGCTGGGACTACAGGCACGTTGCTACCACACCGGGCTAATTTTTGTATTTTTAGTAGAGACACGGTTTTGCCATATTGGCCAGGCTGGTCTCAAACACCTAACCTTAAGTGATCCTCCTGCCTCGGCCTTCCAAAGTGCTGGGATTACAGACGTGAGCCACCATGCCCAGCCAGAGATAAGTTTTAGAGTGTATCTGTTTACAACCTGACTTTATATGTTGCATTTATTTTTTATTTTTATTTTTTTGAGATGGAGTCTCACTCTGTTGCCCAGGCTGGAGTGCAGTGGCACGATCTTGGCTCACTGCAACCTCTGCCTCCCAGGTTCAAGCGATTCACCTGCCTCAGTCTCCCAAGTAGCTGAGACTATAGGCATACACCTCCATGCCCAGCTAATTTTTTTTTTTTATTTTTAGTAGAGACTGGTTTCACTGTGTTGGCCAAGCTGGTCTTGAACTCCTGACCTCAAGCCTGCCTCGGCCCCCGGGCATGAGCCACCACACCCAGCTTGTTTCATGCATTTTTAGGTCTCTGATTTTTGGTTGTATTCTAATGTGGTAGGCACTTTTTTCATTTAGTTAGTTCGTTCATTGACTCCACATGTGTTTGAGTGCCTACTATAATATATGCCAGGATTCATATGTATCTTTATGTGTATATAGGTGTATGTCTGTCCAGTGGTCACAGTAGGCCTGATAAGTCAGTGTTTTATTGGGGTGTTGTGGACATCTAGGAAAAGGGCTTCCATATATGACAGAGGGAATAGAAGACTGTCCTGGGGAAAAACATGTTCAAGTTGACGAACTTGGGCTGAGTCATGAAAGGTAGGTAGGCGGAAAAGAATGGCTGGGTATTTCAGGTGGGGACTGGCAGGACTACAGGTAGTTCAGGATGGTTCAGATGTGTATGGGCTGGTAAGAAAATGGTCCAGATAGGCAGAGGCAATCCAGATCCTGAAGGGTCTTGTGCATCTATTTATCCTGAAAGCCTTGGAGAGTGGTTGGAGGATTTAAATATGAGAGTGATAGGGTGGACCCGATTTACGTTTTAGGAAGATCAGTCTGGCAGCAGTATGTAGTATGCGTGGAAAATTGTGAGACTTGAGATGGGAAGACACTTAAGGAGCTGTGGCTTTCAACTTAGAAGAGATTTCTCGTTTCCCGCCTCTAGAAATCCAGTAAGCCACTAGGTTGAGGCCTATAAAAAGAGAACCAATGACTGGGGATGATCTTAAATCTTAATTTTGGGAGGATTATACATTTCAGTTGAAAGTCGTCCCTGGTACTTGGTTATGAAATTTTTTAAATTTCTTAAAAATGAAACTTTAGGTGGAGCTAAGCCAAGGAAATCATGAATTTAAAGCATCAGCCTTTCTCATACTGTTTCTTTCCCTCCAACTTAGGTCTGGGTATTTTGTAGGACTACGTGAAGCTACAGCCCTGATTTTTGTATATTTTACTTTTATATCCTCAGGATCAGGTAGACAGAGCTGATACCTTCCCTCAGGTACTAAAAAAAGTAATTGACTGGATGAAATTGAAGGAATTAGGAACAAAGTATAAATATTCAATTTTAACAGATGGGTAAGTATTTAGGAAGATTATTTTTTGTATCTACTTTTTAAAGATTAAAGATACCCTAATTTATTTAACTTTTAGAATAACCACAAACTATTATTGAAGACCCTAGAGTCTCACCCCACAGGGGATAGTGTTTTTCCTTTCACCTAAGGATGAAAGAGAGGAGGAAAGCAGTGGTCACAGTTCAATCCAGGACTAGAACACTACAGAAAGATCAATATGTAAAGCTAAAAAGACTTTCCTACAACTCTGTTTTTATCATGACACTTCCTTGCTCAAAAAAGTCCAGACTCTTGAGCTTGGTGTTGAAGGCCCTTTCATCGCATCCCACCCTACCCATTTAATCTAATTCACCTGCCATTAATCCTCTTCAGTCAGACTGGCCCAGGAATCCACATGGTTTATCCTTTCTCTGTGTACTTACGTATACTTCCCTCTCTACTGGGAGAGTCTCTTCTCGACAACTTCTTTATCATTTTTCAAAGCCCATCTTGTGTTTTACCCTGACAACCCCATTGATCTTTTTTCCTTGAAACCTTGTAACTTCTATGATATGTACCATTCATGTTGACATCTGACCATATATTCTGATATGTAATCTGTGTACATACATCAGACTTACTTTTGCAAGGAAATTTAAAATTCTTTCAGAAAAGGACTTTTGCTGCCTGATAATCTTCCATAATGCTTACCTTAGTGGTGAGCTTAAAGTGTATGCCCAAAAAGCATTTGTTAAATGAAAAGCTAAATGGGAAGATTAGAAAAATTAAAACATAGATGACAGACATTGTGCCAGGGCAACTCCTATACCTTAAGGCCATTAAGGTTGAAAAGAACGTCCTAAACAATTTGTTTCAAACTGTACAGATTATCCTCTATCCTTGAGATGTCACCAACATAGAGGGTTTAGAGATCCTCACATATGATAGGAGAAGAGCATTGAATTTAATCACATCATAACTGTTAAGTTTGGAAAAATGTTTATGGACCCCTTTAGAAATCTATTACTGATTTTAAACATGAATGAGCAGTGCTCTGCTAAAGTATACAGGTGTTTCTGCCGTAATATAGTATATGCAGTTCTGTTAAAGTGTCATTTTCTGGGACAGATCACTCAAAACCTATGCAATTTTGTAACTAGAGCACTAACAAAAACCAATCATTGGAGTCTCCATAAATAATGTGGACACAGCCCAGGCAAGCAACTAAGGGAAGGGAAGGTCGCGTCAAAGTCTATTGAAATTGCACGGAAGCACTAGTATCCTGGGGACATAAACTTGTTTTTAATTTTCTTATAATATAGTTGACATTATTATAAGAAAATGCGAAGGATTATGTCCTGTTCCCAGTATAGCAGTTGAATTGAGGGCTTTTTTATTTCCTGCTGAAGTTTATAACTTCCACTGCTATTATTCTGACTCTCCTTAAGAACAACCACATGTGAACCAACACAATTTCCGTATTTCACAATCAGTATTGTCCTAAACTACAATAAATTGGTTAGTGTTATAGAAACATGTTGTAGCAGAAAAAATTGTATTTTAACTGTTTGATACCAGCTACTTTTGTCTCTTCCATTTTTTTGTTTTTGGTATTGTTTCAAAGCACACTGTCAACTTACTTTGCTAAGTCTGGCATTAAAAGTAAGCTTAGCCTAATACTCAGCAAGATAGAAGCCTGCCCAGAACCATAAAAACGATCAAGATGAGCCTAATAGGAATTAGTTTGTGAGCAAAAATTAATATATCCGACTTCTTTGTTTTTTAAAGCTTTATTTTGAATTAGTATTTGGTAGGAAGCAAGGTTAATTTTGTCAGGTTAATGTTACGTGTGAATATGAGAAAGTTGACATCAATAAAAGACTTAAAATACTCATTTGTAAGAATAGTATACCGTTTATTTCATCAATTTTTTGTCTTTTTTTAATTTATAGTTCTTGGGATATGAGTAAATTCTTGAACATTCAGTGCCAACTCAGCAGGCTCAAATACCCTCCTTTTGCTAAAAAGTGGATCAATATTCGGAAGTCATATGGAAACTTTTACAAGGTAAAATTTCTGTATTTAATAATTATATGGTTCTTCATAAATTTGTTAAATTTTACATGTACGTTAAGTTGTAATTTTCCAGGTGTTTTTCATGGAAAAAGGCTATATAATTAGTTCTTACTCTTCAGATTGCAAAATTAGTTATGTTCAAATTAGATAAGCCTTTTTCTCATTCAGCCTGTTAACTTTATTTAAATAGGTTAACTATATATACCTGACAAGTTTGAAACTGTAGGGGCAGTCAGTATGTGGATCGTTTGTGGAGCAAATGCTCCCCACTAGATTTTAATTTTACTTTACGTTTATCAAAGTTAATATGTGTGGTGTAAATGTTTAAAATATTGCAAGACTTGCAATGAATGTCAGTATTCTGCCATAGCCTTCACCAGAACTGGTTCCTGTTCTGAGGCAAACACTTTCTACTTCTGTAAAGCTTTTCCCCCCGCCCCAAATATTTACCTTTGTATTTCTAAGTTTCATGCTTATACTACTACTTGACTTTTCCATTTGTGACCTATTGAATTCCTGCAATGAAAGATGGAGATTGAGCTTGACTAAGCTACCACTCCTGCATGTCCTTCCCTTCCTGCATCTTCCTGCTATAGCTCTATTACCTTTCAGTCAGAGCAGTCAGTGTTCACAACTTTCCTCTAGATGTAATAATTTACTTCTGGGATTGTTTACTTATCCCCTTACTCTCCATTCAAACTGTAGGTCACTGCTCGTGACTGAAAACACTCAAGTAGTCTGTCAGATTTTCTTTTTTCCTCTTTTTTTCCTTCGCAGACTGTCTTCCTGGAGCCTTTAATCCTGTTCTAATCTGAACTATTAGTTCTTCAGGCTTCTTTTAAAATCATCTTAGGGGATTTCCTTTGATTCTCCTTCATTCGTTAGATCCTATGTTGTCATTTTTCTCCGCTACGGTTTCATTTTGGAGAAGGATGTTCTAAAGTAGTTTCATGAGAAAAGGTGCTTTTCCTTACAGACTCTTCTGTTTTAACAGTCTTTTAAAACTGAGAAGTATGCATGCAGAAAGTAGAGTTTTACAGATTGTTATAAAGCAAATACCCTTGTAACTTCCACCCACTTAACTCCCTTCCTTCCTCCTGGAGTTAACTCTAATTCATCCTTTCATGGTAACCATTTTCTTATCATTCCTTATAGCTTTAATATTTAAATGTATATCCTTATACTATATAGTTTTGTCCTGGCTTTGAGCACGATATAATTAGTGTTATACTGGCTATATTATTTATTTATTTTTCTCAATATTATGCTTGAAATCCATCCACATCATGTATGTCACTACAGTTCATTCACTTTATTGCTATTATTTCCATTGTGTGATTATACCAGATTTGTTTATCTGTTCTACTTTGGCCATTTGGGTGTTTTTTATTTGGGGCTTCTATGAAGATACTGTTATAAGCATTCTTGGGCATGTCCCCTGGTGTCTTTGTGCACTGATTTTTCTGGGATATAAACCTAGGAGTCCAGTTGCTGGGTCTTGGGATACGTACATCATTGACATTACTAGATAATGCAAAAATAGTTTTCCAATGGAGTTGTACCAGTTTGCACTCTTATCAGCACTGTGAGTTTATAGTTGCTGTAAGTTTTTGCCAGCATCTGATATTATCAGACATTTTAAATGTTTTTTAAATTTGGTGGGTGTGTGATACCATCTATCTCATTGAGGTATTAGCTATCTGGATTGCGTTTTTGTAAACCCCTTGTTTAAATTTCTGACCATTTAAAAAAAAATGGTAGTCTGTTCTTTCATCACTGGTGTTTTTTACTGGTTTATAGATTTTTACTTTGGATGCTAGTTCTTTAGTTATATTTGATAACTTTTTTATGTGCATTTTTTGTTTGTTTATTTGTCTTTGAGATGGAGTCTCATTTTGTTGCCCAGGTTAGAGTGCGGTAGCGCTGTCTTGGCTCACCGCAACCTCTGTCTCCCGGGTTCAAGCAGTTCTCCTGTCTCAGCTTCCCAAGTAGCTGGGACTACAGGCGCCCGCCCCACACCTGGCTAATTTTGTATTTTCAGTAGAGACGGGGTTTCACCGTGTTGGCTAGGCTGGTCTCGAGCTGCCTGCCTTGGCCTCCCGAAGTGCTGGGATTATAGGTGTGAGCCACTGCACCTGGCCTTTTGTGGATCTTTTTTTTTTTTTTTTTTTTTTTGAACTCATTTTGTGAATTTTTTAAAAAATTGTGTTATGGCCGGGCGCGGTGGCTCAAGCCTGTAATCCCAGCACTTTGGGAGGCCGAGACAGGCGGATCACGAGGTCAGGAGATCGAAACCATCCTGGCTAACACAGTGAAACCCCGTCTCTACTAAAAAGTACAAAAAACTAGCCGGGCGAGGTGGCGGGCGCCTGTAGTCCCAGCTACTCGGGAGGCTGAGGCAGGAGAATGGTGTAAACCCGGGAGGCGGAGCTTGCAGTGAGCTGAGATCCGGCCACTACACTCCAGCCTGGGCGACAGAGCGAGACTCCGTCTCAAAAAAAAAAAAAAAAAAAAAATTGTGTTATGGAAAATTTCAAACTTACAGAAATAGGTATAATGAGTCCTCATGACCCAGGTTCAACAATTACAAACTCATGGTCAGTCTTGTTTCATGTGTATCCCCACCCACTTTCCTCTTCCTTATTATTTTGAGGCAGAAGTCAGACATTATGTTATCTGTAAAAATTTCATTACAAAGCTCCAAAAGCTAAGGGTCATTTTCTTAGAAACACAGCTACCATACCATTGTCACATCTTAAAAAATTAGCAGTAATTCCTTCATCAAATAGTCATAAATATTTTCTTTTACCTTTTGTGTGTTGAATCAGATCAGAATAAACTTCACAGATTTGTAGTTGGTTAATATGTCTCTTAAGTTTTTTAGTCATTGATATGTGTGATATCTTGTCTCTTTAGTTTTTTAAATCTCTTCTTTTTCTTCCCTAGCAACTTATTTTATTTTATTCTTTAAAGAAACTGAGTCATTTATCGTGTTATGTTTCCCCTTATCTGGATTTTGTAATCGTATCCTGGAATGTGGTTTCAGAGATGTCGCTGTCTTCTGTATTTCATGTCAATTTATACTCCATTTGAGAAGCTTGATCCCCTTTAGGTTCTTTTTTTGCTACAACTCCCAGATGGAATAATTTTTGTTTTTAAGAATTAATAAACCTTAAAATAATTTTCAGTCAGGTATGCATAAATCTACAGCCCACAGTATATTAGTGTACTCAGAAAGTTGTAGATATTATAAGGCAATAAAATGCTCCCGGCTTTTTTGAGTAAACAGTGGTTTCTCTTTGTGGACCTGTTTATTTTGGCGAGTTTATTAGCCTACTCTTTTTGTGTGTGTGGTTTTCCCCTCTTCATAATAGGTAACTATAATGCAATTAGTTGTATAAGTAGAAACTTATGTTTCCTTTTTTTTTTTAACCTTATCTGAGACCTAAATAAAACTCTCACAAGTTTCTGTTGTCTATAATGCTAATAAGGTATATTATATGGTATGTCTAAAAACATTTTTGTTTTTTTAAAAATAAAAATGACCTTTTTTTTTTTTATTTTTTTGAGACAGAGTCTTACTCTGTCGCCCAGGCTGGAGTGCAGTGGTGCAATCTCAGCTCACTGCAACCTCTGCCTCCTGGGTTCAAGCAGTTCTCCTGCCTCAGCCTCCCGAGTAGCTGCGATTATAGGCGTGCACCACCACGCCCTGCTGATTTTTTTGTATTTTTTAGTAGAGATGGGGTTTCACCATATTGGCCAGGCTGGTCTCGAAGTCCCAACATTGTGATCCGCCCCGCTTGGCCACCCAAAGTGCTGGGATTACAGGCGTGAGCCATCGCGCCCAGCCAAGAATGACATTTTATCCAACCTTTCTCGGGGGCAAAGGGTGGAAATGGGTAATTAAACTTGGAGCTTAATCTCGTTCATAAATTTAAAAGGTAACTGTAATACATTTCTGTGAAATAATTGGCTTAGGCTAAAATGGGACTTGGTTTTTCTAAAAGTAAGCTGAAGTAATATGAATGAAAATATGGTCTAAGACACATTTTTATACAAGATTTTGGGGGGAAAACCCAAACTTTCTTTGTGCCTGGCATATCAGGTGCAAATGTGGGCTTAGCGTTTACAAAATTATACAGCTGTTTCTTTCTTTCTTTATTTTTTTTGAGATGGAGTCTCACTCTGTCATCCAGACTGGAGTGCAGTGGTGCGATCTCAGTTCACTGCAACCTCCGCCTCCTGGGTTCAAGCAATTCTTCTGCCTCAGCCTCTCAAGTAGCTGAGATTACAGGTGCCTGCCACCATGTCTGGCTAATTTTTTTGTATTTTTAGTAGAGACTGGGTTTCACTATGTTGGCCGGGCTGGTTTTGAACTCCTGACTTCGCCCCCCTTGGCCTCCTGAAGTGCTAGGATTATAGGCATGAGCCACCACCCCCAGCCTTCTTTATGTCTTTATAGGCCTATGTATACGCATTAAAATGCTGTTATTGAAGTAAAAGGAAAGGATGAAATATACCTCCTTCCTGTAAAATCTGTTTTTTTCCCTCCCTTTGCAAATACTTAATTCTAGGTTGAATTTAAGATAAGCTCAATGAATTCATTTTCTTTGGAAATTAGATAATTTCTGCCTTTGCTCTTCATGCGTGTTAAACACAAAAAACCTTGCTTACACATGTAGAAAGTTGAAACTACAGTGAAATGTTACTGCTTTCAAATGAATGACAGGATACTATGTTTGCAGAAATCCACAACTTTTCTAGGGGCAGAGCATAAAGTCTCATCTCCAGTGTACAGTCAGATTATACCTATAAAGCTCTTTTCTTAAAGTCGGATTCTCAGGCTGAACAGAGATTGAGAGAAAGGATCCTTTACCTTATCATACTCTGGTGTTGAAAGGGAGGAAAAATACTTAATTTTCTCCTACAGTTTTTCCAGATTGTACTCAGTTAGACTTGAGACTTTCAAATAGCTTTCCTCAGTTGATAGCAAACCCAAGCAAAAGGTGGACATTTTAAGGTTTTCTGTTATAACATGATTATTTCCAAAGACATACTCCATTACCTTTGAAATGTAAGAATCTTGTCACTTGAAGTCAAACATTTTCTCCAGCTTCTGATAGGGACTTGTTCAGCTGGTTCATGTGATGAAAAATGTCTATAAGGAGGCTACGTTTTGCAGCCCTTCTTCAAACTGCTCAGCAAAATCTGGCCTTTTTGTTTTCCTATTGTTCACCTTTCAACTCAGACACCTGATGGAGAACTTTTCCTTGCTAAGCCAGAGGAAGCAAGAGGTTGGTTTGTTCTTTGTCCAGATTTTCACATCATTTTAAAAAACATGATGAAGTGACTGGCCTTTGTTTAATAAAGTTAGTAACTCTTTTTCAGGCATTATCTAGGACTTTTCATTTTAATCTTTTTTTTTTTTTTGATGGTAAAATATACATAATACAGGTTTGAGTATCCCTAATTGGAAATGATTGGGACCAGAAGAAATGTTTCAGATTTGGCTTTTTTTTTAAGATTATGGAATATTTGCATATACATAATGAGGTATCTTGGAGATAGGACCCAAGTCTAAATATGAAATTCATTTTTGTTTCGTATATACCTCATAGCCTGAAATTAAGTTTCATACAACTTTGTGGATGAAATAGTGTATGTACATTGAACCATTAAAAAGCAAAATTATCACCGTCTCAACCAGTGATACGGACAGTCTGGTTGTTTGGTATCATTCCTGATGCTGCCAATAAGCAATCGCTTTCTTAGTCACACACAAATTAATTGTGTGTCATCATGTACCTGTGTTTTGACTGGGAACCATCACGTGAGGTATGGAATCTTCCACTTGTGATGTGATGTTGGCGCTGAAAAAGTTTCCGATTTTGGAGCATTTCAGATTTTGGGTTTTTGGGATTAGGGATGTTCACCCTGTATAACACTTGCTGTTCACTTAAAAATGCTCCCAATCATTGTTAAGTGCACAACAGTTCAGTGGCATTAAGTACATTCACATTATTGCACAACCGTCACCACATCGTTCTCCAGAACTCTCATATTCTGAAACTGAAACTCTGTGCCTATTGAACTCCCCCTTCCCGCCAACTCCTGGCAATCATCATTCTTTCTGTCTCTATCAGTTTGGCTTATCTATATACCTCTTATAAGTAGAAGCATACAGTGTTTGATCTGTTGTGACTGGCATATTTCACTGAGCATAATGTCTTTAAAGTTCGCATTGTGTCGTGTCAGAATTCTACCTTTCTGAGGCAGAATAAGAATTCATTGTATGTATTTACGGGCTAAGTATCCCTAATCCCAAAATTCAATATCTGAAATGCTCCAAAATCTGCAACTTTTTGAGCACTGACATTGTACTCAAAGGAAGTTCTCATTGGAGCATTTCAGGTTTTGGATTTTTGGATTTTCAGATTAGGGATGCAAAAGTGGTGTAATGTAAACATTTAATATTTCAAAATCCAAAACATTTCAAATCCAAAGCACTTCTGGTCCCAAGCATTTCAGATGAGGAATGTGTAACCTGTACCACATTAAAAAAAAAAAATCCATTGATCGTTTGATGGACATTTAAGTTACTTCCATGTTTTGGCAATCATGACTAGTGCTGTTATGAACATGGGTGTACAATATCATTCTTTTTCCTGTATAACCAGAAGCTGAATCATGTGCTCATCCTATGTTTAATTTTTTCAAGGAATCTCCACATTGTTTCCCACAGTGGCTGTACCATTTTACATTCCCACCAGCAATGCACAAAGTACTACATTCTCCACATCCCTGTCAATGCTTGTTATTTTCTGGTGTGTGTGTGTGTGTGTATGTGTTTGTTTATGGCCATTCTAATAGGTGTGAAGTGGTATCTCATTTTGGTTTTGATTTGTATTTCCCTAATAGTGACATTGAGCATCTTTTCATGTGATTATTAGCCATTGGCATATCATGTTTGGAGAAATGTCTATTCAGGTTCTTTCCTCATTTAGTAAATGTGAGGTATCATGATGTTTTGAGTTGTAGGAGTTCTTTATTCGGGATATTAATTCCTTATCAGATATATTCTTGTAAATGTATCTTCTGTTCCATGGGTTGCCATTTCACTCTACTGATAATGTCTTTAGTAATAAGGTTTTTAATGTTGATGAAGTCCACTTTATTTTTTCTTTCGTTGCCTGTGTTTTGGTGACATCCAGGAAATCATTATCCAATCCATTGTCATAAAGCCTTTTCCATATGTTTTCTTCTAAGAGTTTTATAATTGTATGTCTTACATTTAGGTCTTCCATCAATTTTAGTTAATTTTGGTATATGGTGTAAGATAAGGGTCCAACTTCATTCTTTTGCACGTAGATATTCAGTTTTCCCAACACTATTTGTTGAAAAGGCTGTTGTTTTCCCCATTGATTCAGTGTATTTGTGAAGGTTTATTTCTAGACTCTATTCTGTTTTATTAGTTTATATGTCTATCTTAATGCTAACACCACTCTTTCAATTACTATACTCCTTCCTTCTGTTAATGGTTGTGTTAACATTGTTTTTTAAATGTTGAGCCATCCTTGCATTTCAGGATAAAATCCGACTTGGTCATGGCACATAGTTATTTTAATATGTTGCTGATTTAGGTTTGCTTATATTTTGTCAAGGGTTATTGCATCATGATATTCATAGGGGATACTGATCTGTAATTTTCTTTCCTCATGAGGTCTTTGTCAGGCTTTTGTATCAACGTGATGCTGACCTTAATGGAATGAGTTGGGAAGTATTTCTTCTTCAATTTTTTTGTGGTAGTTTGAGGAGGCTTTGTTCTAATTCTTTAAATATTTGCTAGAATTCAGCAGTGAAGTAATCTGGTTCAGAGTTTTTCTTTGTTAGAGGTTTTCAGTTACTGATTCAGTCTCCTTCCTAGGTATAGGTCTATTCAGATTTTCTGTTTCTTTGTAATTCAATTATTGGTAAGTTGTGTATTTCCAGTAATTTGTCCCTTCTATCTAAGTTATCCAGTATTTTGGAAAAGTTATTTTTAGAAGTGCATTTTCCAAGTGATAATTAGTGGAAGGTACAAGATATATTGCAGTATAACACCTTAAGATAATTATGGATATTTTACATGATTTGCTTTGTGATTATCCCAGTAACCCTATGAGTAAATAGTAGAACCGTTAGTCCCATTTTATGGATGAAGAAGCTGAGATCCAAGATGCATAGGCAAAATAGCTGTGCAAACTATGGAATGTAAAACCTAACAAATCTTGATAGAAATATGAAGAAAATATAACAATTTTTTTTTTTTGAGATGGAACCTCACTCTGATGCCCAGGCTGGAGTGCAGTGGAGTGATCTCAGCTCACTGTAACCTCTGCCTCCCGGGTTCAAGGGATTCTTCTGCCTCAGCCTCCTGAGTAGCTGGGATTACAGGTGCACACCACCGTACCCAGATACTTTTTATATTCTTAGTAGAGATGGGGTTTCACCGTGTTGACCAGGCTGGTCTCGAACTCCTGACCTCAGGTGATCCACCTTCCTTGGCCTCCCAAAGTGCTGGGATTACAGGCTTAAGCTACCACACCCAGCCAATAATTCTTAAAAGTGGAGGTGCATATTGGAATTTGGGGAGTGTGAGGTTTTTTTTTTTTTTTTTTTAGTTTATCAAGGAACAGGTTTTAAATAACTTGAAAAACATCACACGACATCATCTTTCATTCTTAATCTTCATTATCTTTAGCCATCCAAAAAGGCTAGTCTTTTTATCTAAGAAATCAGTCAAGTAAAACATGATAGAAAAATACCATGTAAAATAACTAATTTGGTTTAAAAAGGTAGATCTTCAACTTACATGTCCTGAACAATATATTCCCTTTAATAAATTATTTTTAAATTTTAAAACTACAGAGGTTTCAGATGTCTGAGGATTCGGTCTGTATTTTCAGCTAAAACTCTAAGATCATATTTTAGAACTCTGAAAATTTGAGGGTTTCTTTTTTTTTCTTTTTTTTTTCCCCGATGGAGTCTCGCTCTGTTGTTCAGGCTGGAGTGCAATGGCTTGATCTGAGCTCACTACAGCCTCCGCCTCCCAGGTTCAGGCAGTTCTCCTGCCTTGGCCTCCAGAGTAGCTGGGATTACAGATGTGCACCACCACGCCCAGCTAATTTTTTTGTATTTTTAGAAGAGATGGGGTTTCACCATGTTGGCTAGGCTGGTCTCAAACTCCTGACCTCAAGTGATCTGCCCGCCTTGGCCTCCCAAAGTGAGATTACAGGCTTTGAGCCACATTGCCAGGCCTGAGTTTTTTATTTGCCTTATTTGACTGGGGGTATTGCCCTTTGCCTAGCTTTATTTAGCTATTTGTGCTAATTTTCAGTTCCTATTTTTCAGCTTAACTGTGGCTTATATTACAGTTTAGAACACCAAAGAATTATTTACTAAGCTGTTTATTTTTCAGGTTCCTAGAAGCCAAACCAAACTGACAATAATGCTTGAAAAATTAGGAATGGATTATGATGGGCGGCCTCACTGTGGTCTTGATGACTCTAAGAATATCGCCCGAATAGCAGTTCGAATGCTTCAGGATGGGTGTGAACTCCGAATCAACGAGAAAATACATGCAGGACAGCTAATGAGTGTGTCCTCTTCCTTACCAATAGAGGGCACTCCACCGCCACAAATGCCACATTTTAGAAAGTAACAGCAGTTTTGTGTGTGGATCATTCCAATTGAAGTTGCTATGAAGAGGTAGCAGATGAATCTCATTGAATTAGTCCTATAGTGCAAACTTTAAGCACCTTAAAACATTTAAGATCTTATTACAGGTGATAGAGATAGGTAGATGTATGTGAACAGATTTTGCAGGAAGGCGTACTGAATTCTTTGTCACCAGCACTTTTGATATGAGCAGTGTTTGTTACACAGTGACAGTTCCTGCTTAGAACTGACTTTTATAATTTAAGGTGTTCACTATATTTTCTTTGGTTTTAAAATGGAAAATCCCATTGGCTGTTCTCTTGAATGTCATATCATACTGGTGTTAAAATATGTAATGTATTTCTTTATTAACATCACTAGATGAAACCATATCTTAAAATGCAGAAGTGATTGGAAGGTAGGTCTTATCTAGCCTTTGGATTTCAAGAATATCATAGTCCTTTTGGTTTTTCAGAGTTTATATATGAAGTTCACCATGTATGTGATGAATTTCATAAGGTACTTGGTATACATGTTTGCCTATGTTTCTTTTCAACTCATAATTGGAAGAATTGTGATCAATTATAGGATCTGGTTAAAAATTCAGTTACTGAAGGAATTAATGAGAACTTGGAAGAAAATACTGAAAGGACTATCATAAGGGCTGTAGCTCAAACTTCATAATACATAAATCACTGGCGTCTTTTTGGATTTGGTTGTTTGATTCTCCTTCCTTTTTTGACATATATATGCCTTAATTCTTAAATCTGAGGGACCATGCTTTGAAATAGACTGAAAATTAAGGGTCACCACCTAATTTTACTTTGTATTCAGTATCATAAGTGAGGTTAATAAAGTCAATACTTTCTACCACATATTATGTTTTTGTTATTAAAAAACTTCATTGGCCACAAGTGAAGTTAGTCAATAAAATGCTTGTTTTTCTGATTTTACGTAGTAAGTGGCTGCTAAATATTGAGTTATTCTTAACTAAATCTAAAAACAAAAATGTGCATTTCAACTTGATAGGGTAAAACTCTTATCTAGAGGCTAAACCCATGTATTTTCAGAATTGAATTTTTCTTGATTTCAGGGGACAATTTCATTGACATTGCTTGCTTCCTGCCTTTTACCTTTTAATAAAAATTGTGATGCTACTTTATTCTGAAGGTTTATATTTTATAATCAAATGAATTTCCTCAAAGGTTTCCAAACCTGATATATAGGGTGAAAAGCAGGAAAGTAGACGTTTTGCTTGGTGTGGGAATTACCTACATAGGGCAGTAGATTTCTTTTTCTTTTTTTTTTTTAAGATGTAGTCTCGTTCTTTTGCCCAGGCTGGAGTGCAGTGGTGCGATGTCGGCTCACTGCAACCTCCGCCTCCTGGGTTCAAGCAATTCTCCTGCCTCAGCCTCCTGAGTAGCTGGGATTAACAGGCTCTTGCCACCAAGCCCAGCTAATTTTTGTATTTTTAGTAGAGATGGGGTTTCACCATGTTGGTCAGGCTGGTCTCGAACCCCTGACCTCGTGATCCACCCACCTCGGCCTCCCAAAGTGCTGGGATTACAGGCGTGAGCCACTGCGCCTGACCCAGGGCGGTAGATTTCTTAAGCCAATAAATTTCTGCTTTTGAGCAGTAGTCATATAATCAGTATCATAAAGAATAATGTGTAAATAACAGAAGGCATGAGTGTGTGGTGTTCCTAGATAAACTGTTACAGATTATAGTAAAATAGGGAAATCTAAGTGCTTTAAGTTTATACAGTTAACTCTTAGGATAAGACGGATATATGCTGAGATGTTTGTGAATCCCAGATAGCACTGTATGATAAACTGTAAAGTATTACTGAATGTCGTAAAGAATTTCCCACAAATCCTTACTGTGCCAGGGCAAAGGAGTAGAAAATAGCAAATCACAGATGGCAGGAGATCTAGACACTCTTTAGGTGATTTTTTTCCATATAGCCATCCTACTGTGGAATTCAAATCCATGCTCTAGCAGAACTCTAATTGCCTCTCAGCACTTCCAGAGTCGCTCGCACATGAATAGCTGAAACTGCAACTGGAAAATCTGATGATGACAAGGAAATACTACGTTTCCGGTTTTGTTTTAGCTCTATCTGCTAATTTCTTTGCCTATTTTCCGTTTTGCCAAGTACCAACAAGCTTATGTTGTATTTCTTTTTAAGACCTTCAACATTATAAGCTCTCAGTACCCTATTTTTTGTTGTTGTTCGAGATAGTTTTTGCTCGTCTGCCAGGCTGGAGTGCAGTGGTGTGATCTTGGCTCACTGCAACCTCCACCTCCTGGGCTCAGGTGAGATCCTCTTGCCTCAGCCTCATGAGTAGCTGGGATTACAGGCGCGTGCCGCCACACCTGCTTAATTTTTGTTTTTTTAGTAGAGATGGGGTTTCACCACGTTGGTCAGGCTGATCTCGAACTCCTGACCTCAAGTGATTTGCCCACTTTGTCTTCCTATGGATGTGAGCCTCTGCGCTCAGCCATAGATTTTACTGTCTTAACCCATTTTAATTTCTCTGTTGAGTCTCTGTCCTCCCCTCCAATTTGATTTGGGATTTTGCTGGTGAGATTATACTAAACATTGAGAGTACTGCTTTTTACTCTTTTATTGTGTTGTCTTTCAAAGACAAATAGTACAATTTTCTACAAGGAAACACGTAAGAGATGGATGTCTTTCTGGTATCCCCACGAAAACAATATTAGTATACTCTATTATTGTTACTTATTAATAGTTACTTAGTATTTACAATTTATTAATTATTAGCTATGTTAATTTTTATTCTATGCGTCATTTGCTCTGACATTGACATAGTGGATTTCTGCTGATTTTTTTCGAATCCACGATCTTTATAACCAACTGCAAAATATAATAGAGCATTATATTTCGTCTTTATTTGTGTTCTTTTGGATCAAGTATTTAACATTTGCTCTGAAAAAAATGTTTTTGTGACGTGTCTTTGTTGTCTTGAGATAGAGCTGTTTATCCTGCCTCCTAGGGAGAAGTTTCTGCCTGGATTGAAACAAAAAAACACAGGAGTCACAAGCATGTTACCTATTAAAAGAGAGAGGGTATCTCTGAAGACTAATTAAAATGGTAATTTTTTAAAAGATGGGACCAGTTGACTTTTAGTATATCACCCCAAGTATTATCCCCAAAATGATAATACAAAACAATTTGGAGACCAGGAGAAAAACTGGTAGTAGGATTATGGGGGAGGGGAAGAAGCACAGGTGGTCAGGATAATAATGCGTGTTTGGCCTCAGCTGTAGGTAGAGGTGCCAGAGAAACTACCTGCCTCACAGATGAGCACACACGGGTGCACTGTAAAAGTCTGGGAAGGATGTATTGTACTTTGAAGGAAGACTTTCCATTTCTAAGCTACCATGGAGAAGTATAAGCTCCTTGAGACCAGAGACTGTGACTTCTGCATCTTTGATTCCAACGACATATGATAAAATGTTTTGCACGTAGTTGAATCCAGCGTTGATAAATAAAGGACAGCCTTACATCCTTTTTCTGTTATACTTAGCATTTCCTCTTTCTTCTGCACCACCAACCTGTATTTCAAGCCTCCCTGCCCCACAGAGCTTCCAAAGCCAATAAATTTGTTAATCTAGAGCAGGGGTCAGCAAACTGCCACCCCTGGGCCAAATCTGGCCTGCTGCCTGTTTTTGTATGGCCTACAAACTATGGTTTTTATATTTGTTAATGGCTCAAAATATTATTTTGTATAATATGAAAATTACATGAAATTTTAGTTTCTCTGAATAAAGTTTTGGAAAGAACTACCATTCTCATTTGTTTTCATGTCATCTCTGACCACTTTTGTGCTACAATGGCAGAGTTGAATAGCTGCATCAGTGGTACCATCTGGCCAGCAAGGCCAAAAATACCGTCTGGCCCTTTACAGAGAAAGTTTGCCTACCCTTACCTCTCATCGAATGCAATATGTAAGTTGCATCAACAAACAAGAAATGGGACTGATAACATGAGAGCCTAGAGCTGAATGTTAAGGTACAATAATGATACTTGCACCAAACATTTATTGACACTGTTAAGTACTTTACCCCATTGTTTAATAAGAATCTGGTGAGGGAGAGAGGCCTTCTCTCCAGTGTGCAGATGGGAAAATTAGGTCCAGAGTGGTTAACTTGCCAAAGTTTAAGTTGTGGGAGCTGTAGACTCTGGCAGTCTGACTTGAGCCACTGCTCTTTACCCCTGTGCTGTGCTGCCTCCCCTCGTAGACTTTGGCTTAACCTGATATTCCAGGAACAGATAGGTTGTCCTAGGTAGAATAAACATCTTTCTGCTACAGTTTAAACTAGACATTTTCAATGCGGTTTTACTAAATGCTGCAAATCAGGAGATAATTTGATGTTCATTCTTTGAATGAAGCAATATAAAGTATTTTTAACTTCTAATGTAACCAGCTCTGAGGTTTTTTGGAGATGGGGATAAGTGGAGAAGGAGAAGGATTTTTGCTTTAAAATTTCCCCAGTGTTCTTGAGATGAGAAATGTTAGTGTCTTGAGTTTATAATGACACAGGCTAAAGGGCTTAAGCTTGACGGATGGATGAAGAGGTGGAAGTAATTGTTTTTCTGGATTCCTTACCAAGACTTGGGTAAGGGGCTGATGCCTGAGGCTTTAAACCAGATCTGCTTTTCTACTTGCAAATGAATGTTCTCAAGTTAAACTTCATTAGATTTGTTTTAGGATGAATACTGCTCAGTCATTGTGGAGCCACAAGGCATGCTTCATTTTATTGCACTTCTCTCTATTGTACTTTACAGATACTATTTTTTTTTCTTTTAATATACTGAAGGTTTGTGTGAATCCTGTGTGGAGAAAGTCTGTTGGTGTCATTTTCCCAACAGCATATGCTCACTTCATGTCTCTTACATTCTGGTAATTCTCCCTATATTTCAAACTTTTTGATTATTATTATCTCTCTTAGGGTGACTTGTAATTAGTGACCTTTGATGTTACTATCATGGTTGTTTTGGGGCACCACAAACCACACCCATGTAAGACAACGAACTTAATTGATAAATGTCTGTGTTTTCCCCCATCGCTCCCTCTCCAGACCTACCTATTCCCTGAGACATAATATTGAAATTAGGCCAATTAATAAGCCTACAGTGGCCTGTAAGTGTTCAAGTGAAAGGAAGAGTCACATGTCTTCCACTTTAAATCAAAAACTAGAAACGATTAAGCTTAGAGAGGAAGGCATGTCAAAAGCTAAGACGGGCTGAAAGCTATGCCTCTTGATCCAAATTAGCCAAGTTGTAAATCCAAAGGAAAAGTTACTGAAGGAAATTAAAAGTGCTGCTCCAGTGAGCACACAAGTGATAAGAAAGCAAAACAGCCTTATTGCTGATATGGAGAAAGTTTTAGTGGTTTGGATAAAACATCAAACCGCAACATTTCCTTAAGCCAAAGCCTAATCTAGAACAAGACTGGAACTCTCATATTCTGTGAGGGTTGAGGGAGGTGAGGAAGCTGCAGAAGAAAAATTGGAAGCCAGCAGAGATTGGCTCATGAAATTTAAGGAAAGAAGCTGCCTCCATAAAATAAAAGTGCAAGGTAAAGCAGCAAGTGCTGATGTAGAAGTTATAGCAAGTTATCTGGAAGATCTGGCTAAGGTAATTGATGAAGGTGGCTACACCAGACAACACATTTTCAATGTAGATGAAATAGCCTATTAGAAGAAGATAACAGCTAGGACTTTGATAGCTGGAAAGAAGTCAGTGCTTGGCTTCAAAGCTTCAGAGGACAGGCTAATTCTTGTTAGGAGCTAATGTAGCTGGGGACTTTAAGTTGAAGCCAGTGTTCATTAACCGTTCTGAAAATCCTAGGGCCCTTATGCTAAATCTACTCTGCCTGTGCTCTATAAAGGGAACGGTAAAGCCTGAGTGACAGCACATTTGTTT